CAAAGCTTGAAGCTTTCCTTCAACTTAAGGAGCTTTCCTCCAATTTAAGTGGCTCTTCCATTGAAGGAAGAGCTACTTAAGTTGCAAGCAGAAGAGAAGAGATTGGATTTATACCCCCGCCCTTCACTACCCAAAGGAGTCTCAGAGCGGCTTACAAACTCCTTTCCCTTCCCCTCCCCACAACAGACACCCTGTGAAGTGGGTGGGGCTGAGAGAGCTCTTTCATGAACTTCGCTTTCAAGGACAGCTCTTGTTAGAACTATGGCTTGCTCAAGGTCATCCAGCAGGTGCAAGTGGAGGAGTGGGGAATCAAACCTAGGGTTGCCAACATCCAGGTGGTACTTAAAGATCTCCTGCTATCCAGGCAACAGAGATCACATTCACCTGGAGAAAATAGCCACTTTGAAAGGTGGACTCTATGGCATTATACCCCGATGAAATCCCTCCTCTCTATAAACTCCACCCTCCCCAGGCTCCACCCCCCGGATCTCCAGGCATTTCCCAACCCAGAGCTGGCAACTCTGTTGGATCCACCCCAGCAGGATGGGAAGCCTGCAAAGCCCAATGAACTGACTGAGAGGTGCTTTCACATCTGTGCTGCAATGAAGAAGGAAATTCACACCTCTTTTCATACAGTGTAATAAATATATAGCATAAGATTTTTTTTCAGAGTACAGCTTTTGTTGTACGCTCACGGGTGATGTTCTGTGTACTAGCAGCGCTTCAAATTAGATGGAAAGTGATTTCATTTAATTGAATGAATTCTCTTTTTAAAATCTTCTATTACCTTCTGGAATATCCAGTAGTTAGCTGACTGTTGCAATGGTAATTTGATTTATTTTGCCTGTATTGGCTTCTTGTCCTGGCTAACAAGTTTTGTTCGTAACTTACATATGCCGCTCCTGATCCATCAAGGGAAACCACAACAGGAGCTTCATCCATACAAACTTGTCCCTTGCAAATAACTCTGATCCATAGTCTTCAATACTGTTGGAGAATCCTGTACCCCAGGGTAACTGATTGGATTTAGCACATGGGGGTTTTGCTTGCCAAAGGCCAAATTTTCCACTAGAGCCAGCTTGGTGAATCAGTTTGTTAATGCCGCCTATTCAGACATTTGTAGATATCTAGTGCCT